GGAAGAGGCAGAGTTAGAGGAAAAAAAAACGTTTTTGACGCCGCCACCGCAGTTTGTCCTTCATGAGCCTTCGTAGACGAGATGCCTGTAGTGGCGACCCGCGACCATGGAGATATAAACAGCTTTTTATAAGGTAAAAATAATAAAACAAGGTCTTTGTCTGCAATGATTAGACATGTTTTTTATTATTGTCATTAGTGATTATCTCAATTTCAGCTAAAATAATTGACAAAATCCTACACACTGTTCCTTTAATCAATCTAACACTTTTGATTACATAATCAAACAAAATAGTAAAAACTCAAAAACAAGAAGTCAGATGAGAAGATATCAGAGACCATGGCACAGAGGCAGTTCTAGGGGTGAGGCCACAAGAACATTGGCCCCAGCTGCAATCTGATTGGACCCCTGAAGTGCCCCTGTCCTGTCACACATCTGTCCTTTGCACAACAGCCATGATGGTGGATGCAGTTCCATGTCCAAACACTAGGTGGGGCTAATGAGTCAAATAAGAAAGTCTAGCATGAATCAAGCTTACAAAAGTCCTTCTCTTCTTAAGAATATTTGAACAATCCTGCAGAAAAAGTATTTTGACAAACGATGGCTGGATTTTCTCACACGCTGTGTGTTTGAGGGTATTTTGTCTATGTACAGAAACAATTCATGTAAAACTGGTAAGGAGAAATTACTGTGCACGCTTTTTAAAATTAAATTACATTACAAGTGTTTAAACATGCGTGACTGGTTAAATGTATACACCTTACAATAGTGGTTTGTGTGAAAGGATGTTGAACAAATACTTGACCCCTCTATGAATATTGTGGCCCCTTGGCCTTGACTGGCCCCATACTCAGAAAAATCCTAGATCTTCCACTGCCATGGCAACTTTTGTTCGCAAAGATTTACACCCAAACTATAGTGGAAAACTAAGGTTTTAGGTGGCTCGTTCAGGTGCTTGAACCAAAACTACTGTATGTAAACATCTGACTGAAACTGTTATCCCCAGGATATATAAATGTGTGAAAGATTACATTCTAACAAAATTGTTTAGCTTGGTTACCACTATTATTATTTCTACACTTTAAAAAATAATGTCAATGAAAAGTTACAGTGTTGGAATGTTGTCGTTTAAAGTGTATCTT